TTTCACTGTCAACATCTCATTTACTTCATCTGTTTGTATTTTATAACTGTGTCTCTCTCTGTGTAGTCATCTTTATTCCTTCATGTCACTTGTTTTGTGCAAGATTTAATAAAGTCCTCATTATTGGCCAGCATTAATCAGAGCTGTACTGTCTCTCAATAAGATTTTGGCCACAGTCTGCTTCTCTATGAACCAGCTTTCTTGGGAGAGTCTTCCCATGTCTAACAGGAACTCACTGCAGAGTCTCCTGTCTCTGAATGATTGATAATAGACTTGAAATCAGTGTTTGGTCAGGATTTAGATATTAGTCTGTCTGAGGAGAATCCTGCTGAAAATGCAGTTGACCTGTGAGAATGATGAAATCTCAGAAATGAGAAGAAGAACCAGGAACCTGTTTGTACCAGCCGACATAAAAGCTTTCAGCTTTTTTAATGTTGTATTTGAGCAGGTTAACAGTAAAAAATCCAATGTTTAATAAGACATTATCTGGAGATTGTATGTTACTCTGCATTTTCTTGATTGGACTATAAGTGAATGAGTCTAAGAAAGCATATGTACTGCCAAGAGGTTTGTAACACATTGTGATAAGTACAGTGTCTTCTATTTCTGCGAACTTGATAGTTAAATGATAATTAATGTTTGATGAGGACGTAGAGTTGTATCTTTCTGAGGAGAATCTTGTTTCAAAGCTCTTGAGCTGTCAGAATGGAAAAATCTTAGAACATACAGATGATCTTCTCTAGGAACTTGTTTATACAGCTAATAGAATTCCTATCATCTCTCTCAATGTTGCAGTTGAGAACAGCTAGTTGAAAACTTTGTACTTAAGTACAGTGAGTAAGTATTTGTACTTGGTTACTTCCCACCTCTGGGGACAGAGAACCTGTTCTAAAACCAAGTGAGCTGCCAGAATGACAAACTGAGGAACCCCTCCGGGAAATTGTTTAGACCATCTAACATAATTGAACCATGTTGCAGCTGAGAACAACTTCTTGACCTGGAGAAACCTTGTGGACAGCAGGTATCTGGATAAACACTTCTGCAGCATTAACACGTGCCAACAAACGCATAAAGAACATGAGTGAAATGTCTTTCTCCAAAACGATGGGCTATGAAACAGATGAGAAGAACGTCTTACATTTTAGAGAAGTGATGAGAGAGCAGACATAAAACAGGAGGTTTCTGTGTCAGCACCGTCACACCACTCACACCTGCAAACAACATGAAGACATGGAGTCAAGAGAAACACAAGCACATATGAATCCAACAAATAACTACTAATCTGAAGTATAAATGAGGTTCCATACATGTTAGAGCAGTGATGAGAGCACAGAGAGTCACCAGCATGTTGTCACTGTGTGTTGAGACCTGTGACTTAGAAAGAGGGCACTGCTTCTGTAGGAGGAGAGGAGGTGTGAGCCGTTAAATATGTGACAGAAACTCAGAGAGACTGACAGGAGGAGGAGCTAAATCTGCATAGTTTGCAATGTTTGGGTAATTTATGTTGGAGGGTAATTCTGCTTTTGTATTAATAAATATTGGTGATTGTGATGTCTCCCTCCTCTCCCTTAAAATTGTGCTGCTGCATTTTATTATGAAAAATTGTTGCTATGTCTCCTGGGTGAGGTGTTCCAGGCATGTCTGACTGGGAGGATTCCCCGGGGCAGACCCAGGATATGCATATCTCTCGGCTGGCTTCAGAACACCTTGATGTTTCCCCAGAGAAGCTGGAGGAAGTCTGGGGTCCTCTGCTTAGGCTGCTGCCCCTGAGACCCGGCCCTGGATAAGTGGAAGAAGATGTATGTATGGATGGATGGTTGCTATGTCCTTCAGGTTTATTACTGATGCTTTTACCATTACCAGTTTTTATGTTTGGACAAAAAAAAAAGAAGATCAGAATCCCGCTAACCCTTACAGTTACCTGTTATAATTACATAATCAACAACCTTGAAATGTATGAACTTCTCTGGAAATTCACATGAAACTGGAGTGTTTAGGATTAGGAGAACATTTGATAAAATGTTACGCCATTTATGAACATTAAACAACTGAATAAAGAGTTCAAAAAAGAGAATAATTTTAGTACTAGAACTGTGTGGGCTCCTTTTTTGTTTCAAACTTGAGCCACATGAGTTTTGTGGTATTTCTCACAAATGAAATCACTGTGATACAGGCGTTTTGATATACTTCCCCTGATTCACAAAAACAAATACCAGTGTCGCTCATCTACATCTTGAGAGTTAAACACAACAATTAGAGGACTGACTAATTTGCATTTACCAAAACATTTTGGTTTTAGACACTCAAATTCATTTTTGTATTCATTTGTTTTGTTCTACAATTAATGGTTGGAAATGTTAACTCTTCAGAATTCATAAAAGCTGTAGTGTCACTCAGTTGTGTTTTGTTTGTTTTTTGTCTCAGTATTCATGATTGTGTTATGTTCTACTCAATAGAGTCTATGTTTCAGTGCAGTACAATGCTTACTCTCCTCCTTTTAACTCTAAATCCACATCTAATGATGATGTAGAATTTAGTCAGGCTGAGGAGGATCCTGTTACAAAGTAAAGTGAATTGTCCTCATTTAAAAACTCTCTACATGCTGAGGAGCTCCATCAGAGACTTGAACCATTACAGGCAGTTCCTTGAACAATTTTAGTTCAAATGCAAATGTCCTTATCGTCACACATCACACATTTTCTTCTTTTCTTACATTTAATGATGCTGAATCTATGTTTATAACTATTTAAGAGTTGAGTCTGGTGTCTAAATTTATATTACTTATACGTACATGCATACAATGTAGGTCT